AGGAGGTAAGGCGAATTATGGAGTTGCGAGTGCTGACGTGGAAGTCAGATTATGAGAAATTACAAAAGAGACAATACCCTTATACATGGTATTGAATGGTAAGAAAAAGATACATCGTGGGGCTGGATTTGGAAGGTTAACCCAGGTGGAATGTTGAGCACTCTTACCTCCTTGCCAGTTGGCAAATATCCTGAATCGCTTCATGGTCCTTGAAGGAGCTCCATGAGTCGACGAATAGTAGGGTTGAAGGCAAATCTGTTGATCCAACGCATGATCTAACCCAATCCAGCATAAGTTCTTTACTCATCATTTGGGCTCTAGCGACCCTGATCTCCAATTCGAAGCAGGAAACAAATGCGATACGATCACTTTTGGGCAGAACATACTGCTGGTAATATTTTAGGAGCACTTTGATCGACTGAATGTTTTGATCGTGATTTTCTATCGAATCCTCCAGACTTCTTCAAAATTTCACAATTCCATTCTGAGCAAAGCTTTTGCCAGCACTTCCCTGTTGAACTTATAGTGCACCCAATTCGTTCCGTGTTTTAGGATTTCTGATGCTCAAATAAAAAAGGAAGACTGTACTTCGTTTATGTTATGCTCGAACGTGTTTTGCAATCGTTCAGGGCACTTTTTATAAAAAAGCAAAACAAACGAATGCATCAAGGAAACGACTCTCCGTATCGCGCTCACCAGTCCATCGTACTCCCAACTCGTCCATTGCTGCGTATTCGGAACAGCCCGCGTATAAAAGCGGCACCCGGGGAAAGAAGGATCATAACTCTGTTCTCAGAATCGTTTCGCAGATTTGGGACCCCAAAAAATCAAAATCTGCTTTCCAAATTTGCCAAACGATTCTCCGAATAATGTTATGAAGGTGGTCTCAGATGAGTGCTTAACGCAAACGGACACTTAAGACATGAAGCAACAGCGCTGGCAGGAATGGTTCGGAGCAGTGGTAAGTGTGACGCTCCAGAGGCATGAGACCATGCGTTGAAATCTGTGTGTGATGTGGTTTTGCACATTGTGGGGCGTTCTACTCAAGAACGATTAAATCTTAAATGTTGATTTTACCGCCTACAGCGGTCTTTATGCTTGAGCGAATCACTTCTAACCTAAATTGTGCAATATCCTACTAGCTAATTGCTTACCCATGCACACCAGCTTCGGTGTGATCTCTGAAAAAAGGCACACACTGTAATTTTTGACCTCGAGAAGGTCGAAGAGAACGGAAAGGGTCGTGCAGTCAGTCTCTGCTAGAAGCCGTTCTTTCACAGCTATGTCTGCCTTTTTCCGATGACCACTTTTGGTTAGGTCAGAAACTGATCCAAGCCTTTTGCGGAATACTCTGCATTAACCTATGTTTCCAATAAAAAATAAAAAGACAAGGTTGTTAATACGTAGTGGCTCATGATCTCAAGTTTTGCGTGGCTACTGGTTTTCTAGGCAATCATCCATACCAATTCGTGACGCCTACATTTGCGTACGGTCTAGTGCGTGTTTGTAAGGAAGTGGTCTTAATGCGATCTCTTCTACCTTTGCTCTTAATCTGAATAACATCTTTGTTTCAAATCTCTGCGCTACATTGTCAGATCCCCATATGACGTGATGAAAGTTATCATATTATGAATTTAGAGTGCATGAGAAGAGCAAAGGAACCATGATTGGGTGGTTTCGGTAAGAAGCGAATCACCTGAAAAGACTAGAAAAGGCTCCCAAGGGCGACTGAATCAACATACAATGATTTCCCTGTCTCCGAGGAAAACCCTCCGCAAAATGCAAAAGCGACATCGCTCGCATAACCCGATCAGTGGTCTCATGCCTATGAAGCGTCACGCTTACCACTGCTCCAAACCATCCCAAGCAGCGACTTGCGAGCAAGTTAGCTCTGTTCATTTCAAGATTTATCACGGCACATAGTCCCTTGACTAAATAAGTACCTGATTCAAATTCATTAGAAAAGATCTAAGTACGATATTAGAATGAAAAACCTTTTTGTGCCTTTTGGTTTTAAAATGCCTCAGTACCTACCTCTCAACGGTGTTCAAATTATTGATCCCATCAATTCCGCATACAGCGTAAATGAAATTGTCGACAACAGCAACGTTGGTTAAATCCCTGAAGAATTAAGCGTCTTTCAACCATGAGCATATATCAAAATAATGTTGTACCTTGCTTGGTTCAATGGAGCAACGTATTGCCATTCATGGTTAGCACCTTCGGGATCCATACACTCGACACTTCTCTCGCGTAATCCACCAACTGAAGTTGCAAACTTTGAAATCAAAATAATAGCTAGTCCCATTTAACAGAGATGAACAGTTAGAAAAAACCAGTGGGGAAATCGTTATCCTTATCCCTATTAAACATAATCCACAAGTTTGGTGTGTCCGGCAGTATGTATGTATGTTTGTATGTTCAACGGTAAATTCAATATTACTTGAGAAACAGCTTTGGAGTTCGGGACAACATCGGGATGGGTGGAGCCAAGATATTTATTACTATTACTATTTACTTACTTTGGCTTCGAAAAGGTCCATACCCCGGGAAAAATAGGCAAAGGTGAGGATAGTGTCAACAGCATCCATCATCATCCTCAAAATGGTCAGTACTTTTTAGATGAATACATATTCGATTCAACAAAGGCGTGGATGCCAGGAAAAAATAAAGGGAAAGACAAAGACGTAATACGTGCTGAGCACGAGTAACCTTAGCGGAGCTCCGCCTGCTATGGGCGGGGCGTGCCTTTAAATAAAAGACATTTTTAAAACTAGATATAACTTTATTAAAATACATTCTAAAAGGCAGAAAAAAGCTGGTTGGAAGTCAAAGAGGATATGTGGTCAAATCCTCAAAGTGGGCGGAGTTTGCACTGGGGTAGGCGAAGATCAATAGACAGAGCGCATATCAGGCTTGCAGGGCTCGGTCCGTAAGGGCGCGACAAGCGCAGTTACGGGCGGGGACAAGGATCCAGCGTCATATATCGGTTTCAAAAAAGCACCGACACCGAAAAAATAGATCAAGGTAAGGAGTGAGTCAACAAAACAGATGAAGGAGCCGGATTTGCTGTGAGCCGAGAGGCTTAAAGTCGGAGGTACTCTCCTTATGAATCCACATCCAGAGGTTACTGAACAAATGTCGGCTAGTCTTCAAAGAGGGCGGGGTTCGCACCACGGTGGGCGGTGCTAGAATCGGTTATTTAAGAATGTTCTGAATTGTTTTAGGACGCGATCAAACAGGTGTAGAGGTTGTAGAAAAAGTCCTTGAACGGTACCCAAAGGCTATTTATTTATATATAAACCACAAATATCCGTGCGTCTGCCCGTCTGTTTGTCTCTTGATGTGCTTATAACCACCTTATATGGTGCCCACGCTTTTGTTGAAGTGAAACAGACTGTCCATATTGAAACAAGTGGGAATGAGTAGAGCTACTCAGGAACATCCTGCTCCCGTGTACCGTAATCGTTCAAGTTAATGGGACGGCAGGATGGTGAGTACAGACGGCAGGATGGGGAGTCTGAGGGAAGGTGGCAAACTAGACTTCTCCCCGAAAGGGGAGAGGCGTGCACGAAAATTGTCAAGTTGGACTCAGATTACACAGATTCGATAATTGTACAGGTGTACACGAGAATCGCTTTAGAGTTAAAACTTTGAAGGGATACAGACGACATGATGGGATTACTAACGACAAGGGCCAGGTGTACATTCCACCTTCTGTGGGCTCGGCATGCGCAAAAATTGTTTCTTTGGAATTAGTGAGTTCAAATCTAGAAAGGAAAGATACGACGGGTTGGGCTACCTGGAGAAATTAGAGTCTAAGCCTGCGATTGTATCCAGAAACTTTCCACATTATGCACCGTCAACTCACAGCTTGACTCTTTTCAGGGTATTCGCGTGGTAGGATTTACGCTGTGGGGATGTCGGCCGACACACTGATATTCCTGTCGAGTGAATGACCGATTAGAGGCCATTTGCTCCCTTGAGCGCTTCAATGTTCCAACTCCGAGGACGTTGAAGAGACATCGAAAGAAAGTAGCTGTAAACGCAGCGATCGGTAACGGCAACCGGTACTGATCACTCTCGATTTGTACTACTCGATATGGAGCAACTACTCACTACTCATTTTTTTCGAGAAGAAAAGCTAAGAGTGATGTGAGTCCTGTGTGTTTAACGGTATGTGGGTAGGTCTATCTTTTACTGGAAACTCATAACGCCTCTTCCTGTGGACCGTGATCGTTCAAATTCGGTAGGAGTAGAATTGAAACCCTGACAGAAGGCAAACTAGACTCTCCCCAAAAAGGAGTCTAATTGAACCATGATCGCACAGATTCGATAGGTGTGCAGACGGCAGGGCAGGTGACACGGCAGGAAATTAAAGAAGAAAGAAAGAACAAAGTTACTTGAAATCATTCAAGTGTGTGTGCTTGGCTGGAAATTTTAGTTCCTATCCTGCACCAAAGCGTTCAAGGTTTGGAGGGTATAGGCAGCAGGCCAAGTTCACACGCAGTGAGTCAAGAACCCTGCTGAACTGGTTGCCTCCTTGACAATGACGCTCTGCCACTCTGAGTGTTCCCTCCCTATTCAAGACTGGATCTGATTTCTGTGAGACTGATAAATTTCTCATGTTGCCTTTTTGCACGAGGATTTGGACAAAAATTCAGAAGAACCATACCAACATATATTACTTCAGCACCCACTTCACACGCTCGACTGCGTCTCCTTTTCATCTCAGGGCGTTCAAGTGTAGACCATTGCAGAATCAGGTCGTTCTAAATTTAATCCTGTTGGAAACGTCAAAAATGTGATCCTTCGACAAATCCGACGAACAAATCTGTCGAGGGTAGCCGAAGTGATTCTAACCTTTGCTTCGTCAACAATATTGTGGCAAATGGCGTCCGTCATCACAAGCGCGTTCTTACTTACTGTATTGACAAGAAACTCTGGCCGACAGAGAGCGAGTCGTACGTGCTCCAACAGCTGCAGACGTTGATTAGAAGTCAGTGTTTGAAAAAGCTTCTAGCTTTTACCTTCGGGAGTAGCTCCTTCCGAGATGACAAATCGAACTCAACCCATTGAAGAATTGCAGTGAAAACCTGGAGTCACTCTTGTAGTTAATACACTTAAAGACAAAAATGAGCAACACCACCGAGAAAAGGAAGGCAGCTCTAGAATGCCTTTCCCGAGAAGCTAGGAATGCAAAAACCGAAGAGGGCAGAAGTTTCTCACTAGTTTGACACATTACCTGCTCTTCAGAACATACAACGAGCTTATCGTTGGACAGGAGCTGGATCAATTGAGTTTTTGGAAGCTGATGGAACTCTTCTGTGAAAATAATGCTCTAAAGGAAAGAAAGCAGTGTTTGTGATAGCCAGGCTCAAAAGCATAAACTGGCTACCTGGAAATTCCTCAAGATGTAATTATCAGCATAACGAACGAGCTCTCGACAGGAGTGACTATCGGCAAACTCTCGGACTCCCAGGCAATTCGACGGGCGCAACTGCCTCTTGAGGAACTTGCAACAGGCTTCCTGCGCATTCATTGAGACAATTAATTAATCATTCATATTAAGCTCTCCAACAGTGAACTACTGTAGGCTGCTTTCATAGTCCGTCGGCGGGCCGTACGGCGCCCTTCGAAGGGTGTTTGTTTTCAGGCCCTCGAAGGGGCGTGGACTGTTTGCCTACCTGTCTGCCTCCCTCCTCCCCCCTAGCACTGCCTCGTGGCACGCCGACCGGCCGGCCGGCGGACTATGAAAGCAGCCGTACAATTCAACTACCTGACCTTTATTTCGTTCAAATGAAGCAGGCAAGCCGCGTGCAGTATGCTCGCAACATTTACGCCGTCAATTTCTATCATGCCACAATAGCAGAAATCGATTAGCGCATAAAGCGCTGGTGCTTCGACATCGAAGATTTCTATATCTTCTGTAAGAACAATTAGAAGAACTATTCCAGTAACACATCACACTACAAGTTATGAATATACGCTGCCGAGATTCGAGCATTCCACTGGTGAACATGGCCTTGAAATAGTCCGAATAGGCAGCGAGAACGACTCGATGAGCGTTTATTCGAAATCCCTGCAAAACCTGACATCTGGGGATACTCAATCACCATATTTCGGTGCCCACCTCAGCCATCAACGTCACATCACAAAAGCGACCATCGTCACGTAATTCTGCGAGCTTGGCGACCAGGAGGCGATCGTGTACTCCGCTCTAAACAAGGGGTGGAGAAAAATCCAAATGGAGGTGGGCTCGCACGTATATTCTATACATTTAGCCCATCCTTCTAAAACGGCTGAGAATGTGAGAATGAAAACCGTTCCCTTTAATTAACGCTTGAATGGGTAAATCCCGGGTCCGAGAACTTCTCCCTTGTCACGGCGTCGCACACGCCGCACCCGCCGCGTATCGCAGGATTGCGATGGAAGATTGGAGCGCGCAATTTGTGAGGTAGGGAGTCCTTTAATTATTTGAATTGGCTGACCGCTTCCTTCAATTTCAATGCAATCTTGATCGCCGCTTACATAGGAGGAGTCATTTTAATTAATTAGGTCTAATAAACATGAAAACGAAAAAGAAACAGAAGAAAAAATGATCAAATCCAATAAAAAAGCAAGGCAATCAACGAAAAATATCGCGTCCTATCGATTGGCGGGGAGGCAGAGTGAGTACGGTAATTGCAGTGACATTTGCCGCATGCCGCATGGGAGAATGCCGCGATAGGGGAGAAGTTCCGTTACCCGTAAATCCCCATTTAAGCAGACGCTCCTCCGGAATGGGAGAACTCCACGGACAGTTAAGGGCGTTCCTCAGTGGGATCCAAGCTCCCCTTGTTAGAAAGTCTTATCATTGGAAGGGAAACCAAAATTGAATCTGGTTCAACTGAACTAATTGAAGAGAACTCCCTGGCAAAGAATTCACTTCATGTGACATAGCAGACCTCGCAATAGACCTTGTCCCCCTGCGTATTAGCTAGCAACTCATAGAATCTTATTAAGGGCACAATTCACTACCGCTACCAGCCCTTTCTTGGCCAAAAAAAAGGGGGGATGGTTGCAGTGAGACAGGCTTATATGTCAAGGTCAGGATTACAGTTGACTAGACGGAACTAATTAACTGAAGTACCTAACGATCACTTTATTATTGAAAGACATCCGTATGTTCCTGTATTCCTGAGCCAGCCTCTCTCCTGAAATGAAGTCTGTGACTTGGGAATATCTGGAGATGAGGTTACCGACTAAAGACCAAAAAATACACGTTTTCTCTAACCTCCTCCGAAGTCTAAAACTCTGAAACGGCTGAGAATGTGAGAATGACAACCGTTCTCTTAAATTAAAGCTTGAATGGGTAAATCCTCATTTAAGCGGACGCTCCTCTGGAATGGGAAAGTTCCAAGGACAATCCTTGACATCGTAATATCAGCCATTCCCTAGCAGTGCTCACAAATACCCTTGACGGAAAGTCTAATCATTGGAATGGGAACTAATATTGAAATCTGTCTCAATTGAAGCAGACTGTAATGAACTCCTTGGCAAAGGATAGACACACTTCATTCATATGATATAGAAGACTCCGCACTGGACGTTGTCTCCCTGGGCATTAATTGAGTAACTCATGGAGCCCCTATAAGACAATGGGCTCAATTCACACACCTTAGCGCAGCTTGGCCTTATTCGGTTAAGATAGGGTGTGCTTTTGTGAAACTCCCAGGCTCTCATAAGGGTACATAGCAAGGTTGGGATTACAGCCGACTCAGCCGAAATGGTTAAGTGAAGAACCTAACGATCACTTTATAGAGGAAAGATATACGTATCTTCTAGTGTTCTCAATACGAGCTCTGTACCAGTATCAAGTCTACGGTTAGGGTATATTGGGAGATGAGGTTGCCATTTAGGGAGTGACGGTACAGAGCTGAAGGCACCAAAGGGTGCGTGCGCTCGCGAGCCGGTCGGCGGACTATGAAAGCAGCCAAAGAGCATCCTCCGATTTCTGCACAATTTCTGTAGACAATTTATTTCATTTCACGGCATAACCTTAATTGAGTGCGCAAATTTTCAAACGCCACGTAGATGCTCCCTGACACCTTCCGCTCTGCAGCACTTATCTTATTTAGGAACATTTCAAGTTCAGTGCTCTCCTCGAATAGTAAAATAAGTGAAAATCTCAGCTCCCACCTCGAATTCGAGAACATCTCCCACATCACTACCTGTCAGAAGCGAACGGGCCAACTCCATGCTTCCCGCTATTCCTGGTTTCACAATGGTCTTCAACTTTTGCAGTAGATATTTTAGCATTTCCATATCTGAACGAGGCAATATTGAGGTGGAAAGTTGTCAAGTTAGGTTACTTTATTGCTCAGAGGATCACATCGTTAGCGGGGCATAATGGGTTTTCAGGGTCGTAGTATATTCCGTAAGCGATCCTACCTGCAATGTTCAGTTTATATCTAAAAGAAGAAACGACTGGCAAAGCCAGTAGCTGGCCCATACGGAGCAGTGGAACGTCAAGATGGGAACCAAATACAGAACGGTACCAGATTGAAAGATCAATGCAGATCTTCTGAATCGTAAAAGGGTATGTTGATCAACGGGATTGCGCAACGGCTTGGGTTCAACGTATTCCCAACGACTTACTGTATGTGCTGCACTTGTGATGAAATACCCCTTTTGACCCTTCTGACCTCTTTTGGGGGTGGGGGTTCAGTAAGCTAGGTACAATCAATTGTTATGCCACAAAATTTTCGGAAACTGACGCACGGCAGTCGCGTGGAGAGTCATTCCTGAGTGGGTCGGCGATGTCTTCGATTCGATCCCATCCATTTCGATCCGATTCCATCCTCGCAGCGATAAATGTCGATCGTGTTAGTATATAATCCTCGACGGAAAGGTACACTTCACGTGTTTGGCTAATTGGGTAGAATAGTCGCAGTTTAACTTTATTTGGGAATACACGATGAAATATCGAGGCCGACCATCTTTCTGTTAATGTTTCCCATGCAATGCAGTATTCGGATTAGGTAACAGGTTCAGTCGGCTCAAGTTATAGCTATCGAAGCTCACTAAATGGCTAGATTGGAATGTATGGCACGAAATACGGCAAATTTCACTGATGAAGAGTATTCAAAAATGGGAGCTCGAAGGGTGTATATGTGGATAGGTTAGTGATAGTGGCCAAACTATTACTTCTAAGGAGAGGCTGTAGCTCGGCGATCAGCTGGAGCATGTGGATAGATATGAAGGTGCTCAATTCCCTGGGGACTGCTTTGACAGTTGAGTTCAACTTCTGTAAAATGAAATACTTCTCATGAATGAACCGTTCTCCGAAGAATCCAAGTGAAAAGAACGGACGGCGTCATCTGAACTGAACGGCTCTTCAGTTTCGGCAAGGCTACAACGCCAATAGGCAATCTGAGCTTCTCCTTCGCTGAAGAAGTCTTTTTCCGGAGGATGCTCAGTCCAAAAGGAAGTTTGCATTTTACACAGCTTGGAAGATAATTAGATTCAAAGCCCGTCTTTTCCCGAGCCCGATACCTCCCCAGAAGCCATTTCCTTGGTCAAAATCTCTCATCTCTAACTTTTTGCCTTCTACATTTCATTCAGAATATGAAATTCCGGTTCATACTCAGGCAATACTGAATGGCCTCGGTCCTTTGCAACTCCTTTGCTTCCACTTGCTCTTCGAATGTGAACCTCTTCCCCCTTCTCTACTAGGCAAAGAACACAATTTTTGACGAAATGTCTCTATCAAACAGAGTTCAGGAATCCTTGAGACAGAGTTCAGGAATCCTTGGACTCCTGGTAGTAAAAAACCTCGGGTGTGGCAAAATGGGGGAAATAATAATAAATAACAGTGTCTGAGTGCGCTGTTAATGGGGTGTACTGTAGATTATTATCGTTAAGTCAATAACTTAACGACGAAGATATGAAAAAGAATTCGAATCCTTCCCGATAAGAGGAAAAGCATTTTTGATGGGCCCAAACATCTCGCTGGTCAGTCGTCTACATCTCTGTAACTGTAACAGTCAACGTGAACTAGAAGAAGGGATCCCTATTGAGACAAATGCTGTGACAAAAAAAAATTTTAACGAAATTGGTGAGGTACGTGTAAGTGTTCTATCGGAGTGTAAAGGATTCCATTAACAATTCAGCCGGACTGTTCAGAATCTAATAACTGACATACTTCCGCGACTCTTGTAACCGGGAACTGGTAAAAATCATGTAGACTGGATCGCCAAGATGATAGCCCAACACGGAAAGGGTTTTAGATTGCCGGAAACTGTCATCAGTTAGATTAAGTTTCTGTAGAATTTAATCTCATGGAAGTCTTATCAGAAGAACCCGTTTTGTTACAACCTATTACTTGTGGTCTTGATATCTTTTGAAGGCGAGGGAAACCCTCTTGATACTCCTGACCGCACTTTGATTTTGTAGGCAACCTGCTTCTCCTTTCGATATCAAGGCGTCGCTTGCCTTCAATTTGCTAGAGAGTTTCTATTGTGAAAAGAATAAAGATCATTCATCTAATGAACCTTCCAGTACTGATAAGAGGGAAAAAGCCCGTGGACGATGTTAGTTTCTACTTTATTGATGCTGTGGCCTTCCCATAAACAAGTTGTATATTTTGGCCTGAAGGAACATGAATCCCTCCTGGCGCACTTAACAGTCCTGTACTTTATGGAACTGTTCAGACTGACTAAATTGGAAGATAGAAAATATTCATTAAATAACCACAGAAAGCAGAAGCAGAAATACAAGCCAGCCTCACAAAAACAGGACGAATTTTGTTGATTGATCTTTAGAGAAAAATAATCATCCGAAATGAACCTCCATTGGAAAGGTTCTTGATTTCCAAGGTCTTAGTCACATGAATGGTCAGCGATATCCGAAACAGTAAGGAATGCGAAGATAGGAACAGGATGCTGTGACCTTCGAGAAAATTTTCTTTGCAATCTTTGATTTCTAAGGTTTCCGTAGAACAGCCACACCAGAACAGGCACGTCTAAAAGAGTTTGTATTGACGAGGAAAGCCTGAAAAGTGAGCAAATGATCATGGACATCAACTTACTCGCTGTTCATGTTACTGTGGTATTCCCACTGGTTCGTGTTAGGATCAAAATATTCAACAGAACTAAGATCATTCCCACCAATAGCATACAACTTTCCATTGACAGCAGCCAGTCCTAACTGAAAACGACACAAATTAGCATTGGCAAAAATAGAGAGTATAAGGGAATACAGCTGACTTACACCACTTCGGCTACCGCTCATATCAGCCACTGAAGTCCAGTTATTAGCACGGAGGTCATACTTTTCAGCAGAGCCAAGTTCGCCAGAATTTTCGTTGTATCCACCCACTGCATACAATTCGCTATGAAGCACTGCGGAGCCATGACTATGTCGTGGTGTTGACATGGGACAAACCTCTTCCCAATTACCGACCCGTGGGTCAAACCTGAAACGTGGTAGGCTATCCTGACGGTTATTTCAATATGTTTTTAGTTCATTTACAATCCATCCCAAGAGACATGAAAAGAAAAATTTGTCACAGGACAACTGCAAGCACAGTAAAATCAGCTTAAGCACGGCTCTCAAAAACCTAGGCAATTTGTCAGGAAAATTTTATTATTCTCCTATTCTTCGCCTCTTATGATTCTGGAGGTCAAGGCTGTAGAGTACTCCCACTTGCTCTGAAGAATATGAGTTGGTTTTGAAGGGCTTGTGAAGATAACGAGGTCAGACTTCAATGATAGACAGGTTGCCGAAACCTTCACACAGTCATATTTTTACCTCTTTTGTTTTCAATGTTCTGAAAAGTGGTAAGAAACTCTGCTCAAAGCAGTGCCGTGCCACTAGATTTAATTTAACTGGCTCACCTCTCTACAGCATTCAGAGCGCTTTCATTGAACCCTCCAACTGCATAGAGGCAACCATCTAACACGGAAACAGAAAGGCTGGCTCGACATGAACTCATAGGTGCCACCGAGGTCCATTCATTTCGTTGAACGTCATAACTGCAGCGACACTGAGGAATTCCGTGTAAGCAAGAGTCGCTCAAATCTGCCCTTACCACTCAACAAGGTCAAGACCTGGACCACTGCGATTCTCGAAGCCGCCCACTACATAAAGATGGTCGTCAAGAGCAGCCACACCGAACGAGTAACGGCCAGTGGGACAGGGAGCGACATCAGATATCCATTGGTCAGTATCAGGGTTATATCTGAAGCGATGCGATTAGAAAACCCCAGACTCCTCCTTACTTCACATGGGACTATAAATGGCTTCAAGGAAACCACGACTATTCAATTCAAACAGGAAAGCCTCGAAAAGATCCAGACTTCAAATTTTGGGTTATTACGCATCGAAGATCGTCTACGAGCCACCTCGCCTGTATCCAATGAAATTTTTTTTTGAAATTTTTATCAAAAAGACCTCATTGACTGACCTTATTCTGATGAAATACCTGACTCAAATCGACATAAGACTGACTTGAAGATAATAATACAAGAAAACGGCTTAAATCTGCTTTTTTTAGTTCGAAAAACGGGGAACCTCTCGATGCTGTTCGAACTTTCTGTCTCATCACTGCCGCACACAGCATAAATGAACCTGTCGACAACAACGGCGCTAGCAAAATGCCTGAGAAATAAAGCACTTATCGAAACCTCAAGCACTTATCAAAAGGGTGTTGTACCTTGCTTGGTCCAAAGAAGCAACGTACTCCCATACAGGATCAGCATTATCAGGATCCAAACGTTCGACACTGCTCTCGTCTCTTCCTCCCACTGAAGGTGAACATTTGAAAATAAAAGAATCAACCGGCATCACCCACCACTGAGATGAGGAATGGTTAGAGAGAGCCAACAGGAAACGCCTTATAGTGAAAAAAACCCGGTTAAATTGTTAGCCTCTTGTCACTAACACTCTCGTCCATCAAACTGCTCCCCACTCCTTTCTTCTTCCTCCTTTCATTTTTGAAACCTCCAATTAAAGCCGTTCCATGCGAGAAAATAGCAGGCAAAATATCACTTTACCCACTCCCACGTACAATATGAGAACTCCCTCAGCTACATAGGTATCGGATTTTGCAATACCTATGTAGCGAGATAAGCAAACCAGCATGTTTGGCCTTCTGCTGGATGCATTTCCTTATCCTGCGATTCTGTTTAAAGGTCTCATAATCCCACTCAGGGAATGTACGTGGGGAGTCGCTTTTAAATCCCTGGTGGAAGACACTCCCTTGCTAATATGTGGAAGACATTGGGCGAATATNTTCCACCTGGGATTTAGAAGCGACTCCCCACGTACTTTCCCTGAGTGGGATTATGAGACCCTTGAACAGAATCGAAGAATAAGAAAATGCATCCAGAAGGGCCAAACGGGCTGGTTTGCTTACCTCCTATGTAGCTGAGGGAGTTCTCATATTGTACGTGGGAGTGGGTGAAGTGAATTTTTACAAGATGGTAAAATTACTCTTCATCTTACCAACATATATTACTCCAGCAACCACTTCACAAGCTTGATCGCGCCTCCCTCTTATCCTCGGGCACTCAAATGAAGATGATTGAAGAATCAGGTCATTCTAAAACTTCAATCAAGTGAAAACGTAGGAAATATTAGCTTCTAAAAAATCTGAGGAGCAAATCTCCTATTGGTAGCTCACAGGGAATTGTCTCTGACCTTTGCTTTGTCGACAAGATTGCGGCAGGTGGCGTCTGCCATCACAAGCGCATTCGTACTTACTGTATTGACAAGAAACTCTGGCCGACAGAGAGGGAGACGAACGCGCTCCAATAGCTGAAAACGTTGAATAGAAGTTTGTATTTAAAGAAGCTTTCAACTTTTACCTTCGGGAGCAATTGCTTCCGAGATGACAAATCGAACTCAACCCACTGAAGAAGTGCAGTGAAAACCTGGAGTCATACTTTTCGGTGAACACGTGAAATGCGCAAAAAAAATACCGAAAAAGTGACGGAGGCTTTTACAGAACTGAACATTACCTCCTCTTCAGAGGGAGCAACCAGCTCATCGTTCGACAGGAGTTGGATCAATAGGTTTTTTGGAAGCTGGTGAAACTCCTCAGTGCATATAATGTCCTAAAAAAAGAAAGCAAAGTATTCGTGAGCGAAGAATTTAAGACCAGAAACTAGCTACCTGGAAATTCTTCAACATGTAATCATCAGCACAACGAACAAGCTCTCGACAGGAGTGACCATCAGCAAATTCTCGAATTTCCACGCAATTTGACGGGCATAAGTGATTCTCCAAAAACTCACAACAAGCCTCCTAGGTATTCATCAGGAAGTACAGATTAACGCTTTTTTTCGAGTTCTTAAAAGCACCGTTCACGACAAAAATGGTTCCTGAGTTCTCCTCTAGGAATACCCAGTGGCCCCCAAGAGTATAAGGAAGGACGGCAAAAACTCAACAGTTTGGGCCCAGTGTGAGCCCCTTTACCGGATCGCCCGGGTGTCACGCCCATCGACCGATGATGTATCAGACGAGTGTCGAGGCGATACAGATGCAATATTCGCGCCAGGAGCCACACGTTCAGCATGCAACCAGCTGATCGCCATAAAGTGGAGCGAAGCTTTCTCCTTTTCTATTATTCTCTGTTATTCTTTTAAATGTTTCAACCCTTTATCTAATTTTCTACATCAAGAGGCTGAAAATGGTTGGCTATTTTTGCTGTTAATAGTGTTTTTTTGAATTTATGCTTATGAGTGAAACAACTCTGGAAAACATTCTTGTTTACATACTGTAGTCAGCTATCCGCATGAGGGCTCACACTTACGCAGCGATACACACTGTATAGCTCTACTTCCAGATAACACCTCCACTTCCTTTTTTTCGTCCAGCCCCCTTCAACGGTTTTTTGAAGCCTTTTATCACTTTAGAAACACTGGCTCGTGCACGTTCTTCGCCTTCATCGCACTATTTCCCACCTTCTCTTTCATTTTTCGTGATAATCCGGATAACCAAAATAATCGTGAACTGAGCCTTTAATCATATGAAACCTTTATTTCGTCCAACTGGAGCAGACAAGCAGCGTGGAGGATGCTCGTAACATTCACGCCGCTTATTAGTATCATACCAGAATAGCAGAAATCAATGAGAGCATCAAGCGCTGCCCCTTCAATATCGACCATTTCTATTTCCGCTAAAACAAAAATCGATAAGCGAAGTAATGCAGAGCTGACATCAGTAAGGAGAATATGATGAAACTGTAGAAGCACACATCGCAAGTTATGCACGTACGCTGCCGGGATTCAATCATTTCACTTGTGAACATGGCCCTGAAGTAGTCCGAGTAGGCAGCGAGTACGACTCGATGGGCGCTGATGCGGAAATCCTGAGAAATCCCTCATTCAGGTTCACTAAATCAACCCATTTGATGTGGTCTACCTCGGCTATCAAAGTCACATCACAAAAGCGACCGCTATCTCGTAAAGCAGCCAGCTTGGTGGCAAGATAGTGGTTGTGAGTTTGACTCTGAACACGTGACTAGAAAGGAAAAAAGCATGGCAAGATCCTGGTTACAGTGGGCTCGCTGGAAATGTTCAGATAGAGTACTCAACGATTACGTAGGCTGCCTTTTATATTTTGAGATTTGGGAACTGAAACAAATATCATTTATTGTAAATCCCTCTATTGCCTTTCAAAATTCTCCACGTTGAGATCTATACACTTTTGCATGGGCTCGAACCAATTTTCGAAGCACTTCTGCCACCCTGATGTAGGTAACTCTAAAACATGGAATCTGAACGCATCAACCGCTTCTTCAAGTGTCGAAAAACGTTGACCTCTCATTTTATTTTTTACGTACAGGATGAGAAGAAGTCACCCGGGGACTACATGGCTGTTGACCTGTCAAATCATTGTTTTGAGTGTTCAAAAATGCAGTTGTTGGAGCCGATGGGTATGAGCTCGCATTGTCGTGGTGAAGAGT